TCCGCCCCCTCCTGCTGGTGTTTATTTATAGCCTGTTGCTCTGAGTCATTAACCACACGCGGGTGCGAAGAACCAGATGATAAAGGACCCGGGGCCGAGTGCCCGAGGTGATGTGAAAGGGGAAGCACAGCGGGCTGTGGAACCCCATTGTGCTTTCCTAGGAAGGGAGCTAGGAAGGGGGCGCAGCTTTGAAATTCAGCTCCGGTCAGTCTCCTCCGGGGAGACTCCATGGAGGACGAGGGAGCTGGGGAGGTGACGGCATCACAGTTCCCCTTGGAGTGAAGGCCGAGCCATAAATTCAGAGATTCTAAGGCCAGGAAGGGAGCAGGCTGATCCGGCCTCTCCCACTGCACGGGCCAGAGAATGACCCAGGGATTCCTGCATCCAGCCCGTAGCTGGGGATGGAGCTAGCGCAGAGCTTGAGAGAGGACAGCCCGTCTGTTCGACTCCACGTGATGGAGAAGCTGCCGTGTCCCAGGGCAGTCGGTCCTGAGGGTGACGTCCCCCACCCTGTTCAAACACGAGCCTTAGTCCTGCCCTGAGAGGGGACGTGTTGGCTATTCGGGCTCTTTAGAACAGGGGCAGCAGCAGGGCCTGTTCCCAGGCAGCCCCAGCCCTGCTGGGACACACCCCACACCAGCCGGGGTGAAGGGCTTTGGCCCCTTGGAGGCCTTTCTTCTGAGATGGTCCATTGGTGCAGGGGCAGAGCTAGGAATAGAACTCAGGAGTCCTGACGCCTACCCCTGCTCTAACCACTAGACCCTATTCACCTCCCCTCCAAGTTGGGGATAGAACCCAGGAGTCCTGGGCTCCAGTCCCCACTCTGACCTCTAGACCCCACTCCCCTCATCCCAGAGCTGGGACGGAACCCAGGAGTCCTGATGGTCAACTTGGAAGCAGGGCCAAACTCATTTCATATGATGCCTGGTAGCAATTTTTAGTCTCCTGCACCGTGGGCTAGACTGGAGCACAGGGGACCTGATCCCCAAGGCCAGTCCACCCCCCAATACCTTTCCTCGCCCCCATCGAACCTTTGTGTCCACAGAGCGGCACTGCACAGCCTCAGCCACTAGGGGGCGCCACAGCCCCACACCAAGGCCCCAGCCCCAGCGTCCATGCTGGGCTGGGTCTGGTCCCTCAATTGTCCCCCGAGTCCCCATAGTGCCTTAGCAGGATAATTACTCACACGCCAGGAACATGCACCGCACACGCTAGTGCTCACATGCACACACACTCTGGTATGCACACAAACGTACAGATGTGTCCTCACGTTTGTGAATAAGTACAGATGTACATACCGGTGCACCCACACCCACGCACGGGCAAACACGTGTGCCGCACACTCATGCACGGGCACAGAGGTACAGACACGTACGTTCACACGTACCGGCAGCCTGCTGCAGCATTAGATGCAGGGACAAGGAGCCCCCAGGACCCTCCCTGCTGCTCAAACACCAACCAGGCCGGAATGGAGGGAGAATCCTTCAAACCCTCCCGCCGGCGAAGAGCTGCCGTGACTCTGCCCAGAGAGACGTGATCGTGGGGCCCGGCCCCCTCTGCCCCCCCAGGGACGTGGCCAGAATCCCCCATGCCCCCCCCATCAGAGTCCCAGTTCAACCCTCTTAGCAGGGAATCCGTCCTCCCTCCCCGAGTATCCCACAGCCAGAGCGCCTGCCCCGCTCCCCACAGCGCCCCCTGCTGGGTCAGCCCAGGACTGCAATAATAACACTCCAGCACTTTAACCAGGGCTTGCTGGAGTCCCGTGTAGCCGGCAGGAGCCGGGATATCGCGCCACCCCCAGGCTGCCCCCTCAGACGGCAACGGCCGGGCAGTGACCACTGCCAGTGAGCGCCGTCCCCTCCCACCGCGCCGGGAAGCCGTGTATCATGGAGCAACCTCGTCCAAGAGCTGACGTAGGCACTCGAGAGACCCAAACTCCCCCGCACCCTGGATTCCCACCTGAACCCCCCTCAACCCATGCAACCAACCTGCCCCCCTTGACCCCGGACTCCCACTTGAACCCCCCAAACTGGCCCCCCTCCTCTCTGGGTCCCACATGGCCCCCTAGACCTCCGGACTCCCACCTACTCCCTGGGTCCAACCTCTTTCCCCTGTTCTCTAGGTCCGAACTGCCCCCTCCTGGGTCTGACAAGCCCCTACCAACCAGCTCTCTGGATCCAATACACCTACCCTGGATCTAGTATGTCCCTCCTCCCCCGACCCGATGGGGACTCATCCCATCTCCTGTGCTCCCAGGGTACGATCCAGCACTCCCCTTCCAGGTGTGCCACCACCACAGACACACCCCGGCTCCCCTGACGTTTTAAGGCCCGATTCGGGGGAAGGGGGCGATGAGCCATGTTGCCCCGCCCCGGGAATGTCTCAGGCTCATGTCTCAGCCGGAGGCAGGTGCACAGAACTGTCCCTTTGTCCCATCTGGCCCCTCCAGGCCTTGGCCAGCAGCTGCCTCCCAATGGCCAAGAATATTTTCCCAGGGGGCAGAAGGGATGAAAAGGAACATTAATGGGGGGGTGGGGTGTGACAATGCGGTTCTGGCGGGACCCGACTGAGAGTGCCAGTTCAGGACAAATTGCTCAAACAAGGCAGTTACAGCCCAAGGCTGGGGTTTCTCCACCTCTAAGGCAAACCAAACCAGCCAGACAAAGAGGACTTTGGTCTCACCCCACTGGCTAACCACAAGTCACACAAGCAATTCCCTTAGACACTCCAGTTTTCCAGTATCACCACCAGTGCCACTCGTTATGGGGACAAATGGTTATGAAAACCAATATCCCAATATACACAAAAAAGGTTCTCTCGATCCCAAAGGACCAAGCCCCAGACCCAGGTCAATATACAACTCAGATCTTTCCCACAAATCACGCTCTTGCCAATCCTTTAGAATCTAAAATCTAAAGGTTTATTCATAAAGGAAAAAAGATAGAGATGAGAGTTAGAATTGGTTAAACAGAATCAATTCCATACAGTAATGGCAAAGTTCTTGGTTCAGGCTTGCAGCAGAGATAGAATAAACTGCAGGTTCAAATCAAGTCTCTGGAATACATCCCCAGCTGGGATGGGTCCTCGTCCTTTGTTCAGAGCTTCAGTTTGTAGCAAAGTCCCTCCAGAGGTAAGAAGCAGGATTGAAGACAAAATGGAGATGAGGCATCAGCCTTTTTATAGCTTTTCCAGGTGAAAGAACACCTCTTTGTTCTTACTGTGGAAAATTACAGCAAAATGGAGTCTGGAGTCACATGGGCAAGTTCCTGCATACTTTGCTGAGTTACAAGGCGTTTCTCCACGGGTCAAATGCATAGCTGATGGTCCTTAATGGGCCATCAAGCAGGCTAGACAGAGCTAACACCCACCTGTCTGGGAGGTTTCCCAGAAGCACAGCATAAGTTTGAAATACAGACAGTACAGAGCCAATATTTATAACTTCAACTACAAAAATGATACACATATCTAGGCAGCATAATCATAACCAGCAAACCATAACCCTATCTTAGACACCTCATTTGACCCCCCTTTATACAAGATTTGGTGCCACTACAGGACTTTGGTTGCAACCATGTTCTATATGGTTACAGATTATATCAATAACGTCACATGGGGTGTCAGGAGGCCTTAAAGAGGCAATGCGCAGCTAGCCAGGGCCCCTCCCTCCGCCCCCCAAACAGCCCCGATCCTGCCCCTCGGCAGCTACAGCAGAGACACCCCTGGCTGTTTGGGGGGGTGGGGTGGGATCTGAGCATGGAAAGTTTGGGAGCCGGCCAGGGAGCAGGATTGGGCCCTCGCC